GGGCAGCGAGCATAGGCAAACCCGCTCGCACCCGTGCATGCGGTATAGTCTAACTACGAAAGTGCAACTGACACGCACATGCTTTGAATCAAATGGAGGAAAGGACAGAGACGGATTCTGAAAGTTATAGGGGAAAATTCACCTCGTACACCCGGGGTGACGGTGACGGAGATACGCGCCCGTGCACATGCGTCCGTGACATCTCTTGCAGAACTTCAGTAATCAGGGGCCGAACAAGTTGAGAGTCCCAGGGGGTCGCGAACACAACTTACTGTGGCCATACGTGTGGGCACGTGGGACTCAGCGAGTAAGTGTTCCATGGCGATTATAGGTAAAGCCGCAGCACTGAGGCGAGTTCTGATTTGGCGTTTCGTTCGCTCCAGGTACGAAGGGGAGGGAGCGGTGCCACGCTCGCGCCTTCAAGTCTCCCCCTTGGCCCAGTCGCTGTCGCAGCAGGTCAGGGCCCCCCAGTCAGAAATGAGAACGTGGATTCAACGTCGAATCGACGTCGAAATTTCGAAAAGCTGTGGATTTGGGGGACAAAAAGGCGTTTATTCGACTTTTTCGACGTTAAAGAAAAACTCATTTCTCACTGGGGGCCGAGGCGCGATTTTTCCATCATGTGGGGGATTGCTCTGGCCACTACATACCAGGTGGCTGATTCACGCCGCGCACTTCTGTAGGTATACTGTACCGCATGCACGAGTGCGGGCGGGCTTGCCTATCGCCCCTGTCCACGGCGCCATCGAACCTAGATAACATGACGCAATGAATTAACACTAAAGAAATGGGCACGCGAGAGAACTCAAACCCTTTGCGTAGGCAAGGCTCAAACTCGAGGTAACACAGTTGAAAGCAACGAAAGACAGCATGTGGATGCACACAGGACGGCAACAACAAGGCAATGCCCCGTGTGAAGGGGTGGAATGCCCCCCTCCGGCCAGCTGGGGCGGCGTGCGAAATGACCAGCATGATGAATAACACATGAGTTATTGCCCGTGCCGTGGGTGCCCTGATGACGTTCTTGTGATCTGAAACATATAATCGCCTCCAATCTTTTTAGCAGATGATACCTTGAAACACTTAATACTTAACTTAAAAATTATACATAAATAATGGATAGTGGAAGCAAACTAAAGGAGAAGAGACCTAGCGCAAACCAGCAAACACAAACAACATCAACAATAATTTTGGGCGCTAGGGGACTGGTTGTCGCGTTGAAGCCGAGGGGGAAATCACTTGGGTTCGTAGCGTACGGGCTATTTCGTGGTATTTCTCCTGCCACTTCCGTTATTTCTCCTGCCATTTCGATTATTTTCTCGCCTATTTCGGATTATTTCAGGGTATTTGACGGTATTTCGCGACTATTTCACCGACTATTTCGCGTCTATTTCGGGTCTATTTCGCTCTATTTCGCCTTTATTTCGGACTATTTCGGGGGAAGGTGTACGAACTATTTCGCAAGTGATTTCCGCCTCGGCTGAAGATGCCTTTTGCTTTCGCGTTACCCCCTCCCGCCGACAATACTGCGCCAGGCCCCCGTCCCCTGCATGGTTTGCGGCGGTTTTGCGTTCGTTATACACGAAGAAGACGAGAGAGAGAACATGGAGAGTCCTGTCTCTATCACGGTGGAGCAAATGTGGGTGCAAGTCTTGCAGTTGCGACACTCTCTGTGGCTTCCCGTCTGATGCTCCAATGCAAGAGCAGCTCTGCTCTGGTGCACTCTGATGGAGATGAACACTTTATTTGAAGCAGCCTGGATATTTAAATACTAATAAGGTGTTTAACATTAAAGTAGAACATTTAAAACTGTTTAAGAAAGACTAGCCTTAATAATCGATAAACTTGCCACAGGGATGCGCAATTTAATTTAAAACACCAGAAGTTATCGTTGTAAAAGATATGTACTAGTTCTCTGCCAAATAATGTTGACGAAATTTGTCCAAACCGTGCAAAGAAGGTTTTTAGGCACGGTGTAGGCAGGCATGGCGTTCGAGGGGGTGCAGTGCGCAGGCGGTTGCGTGACTTTGTGCGCAGGGCGCCTGTCGAGATAGTATGGCAGTAAAACCGAGTAAAACGCTCGCGAGGGAAAAGCGCTGTACAGCGGGGCGAGGCGGGGCGGCACGGAATAACGCGGCACGCTCGAGTCGATGTTCAGCACAACGTGTGTCCGGGACGCAAAAGTGCATTAGCAAAGCCCCCGCGGCCCGGCCCCGCGGCCGCAGGGCGCACAGGAAGTCGTACCTGTCTCTATACCAATCAGTTAAAAATCTCAATCAAGAATCGATCTTGAAAGCAGGACGATACTACAAGATTAAGAGTAAGGCTGTGTTGTCAAATTCTCCCATATTTAGTGCTGTTTTTGGAACGTCTCATAACTCCGAATCGGCACGATAAAGGTAGGACTCTAGCGCGCCCATTCCCAAAGCGCGTCTCAGCCCGCAGCCCGCACCGATCTCGACGCCAAGAGTCTCTTCAGTTCAGTTCCGAGGCGTTTCCATTTGCTTCCATCTATGTTGGCAACGCCGCGCCCCGCGGCCCCCTATGGGTACACTGTACCGCATGTATGCGTGCAAACGGGTTGAATACTCCAACGGAGCAAGGGCGCCGTGGTGGGAGTCCTATAGGCAAGCCCGCACGCATACGCATGCGTGCGGTACAGAATAACCAGAAGGGGGCGAGGCTTAAAACTACCGACCTTGTCTGCATGCGCTTAACCCCCCACACACCCCGTACTGTGCACCACCGGGTGCCTAAGATAAGGAATAGGGACGAGAGCCACTTCGACTGTGAGTGGCCAGGTGGCCAGGACGGCAGATGATGCACCCGCCCTCCATGACCTGCTTCCATAGTCCGACCCCGGCGCGACCGGCGGCCCCGGGCCCGGGAACTGTGGACTATGATGCCTGCTCGTGGCCGTCCAGTGCGCGACGGACGGGTGATGCAAGCGCTTGCCTCCCCCCGCCTCGCGGCCCCGCGTGGCGTGCCACTCGCAGCGCAGCAGTGCGCCAGAGCGGCCGAAAACGGCTAGAAAATAAAGCCGACTTGAGCTCACCGTCAGAGTTTTCCTCACAAACAGGTCTTTGCATCACGATTAGGATGATCGCGGACGCATCGCCGCCACAGGGAAGGCTTTTCACACCTTCGCCACCAAGCTCACCGCCAGGCTCACCGCCGTCGACGGTAGGAGGTGCGATAGACCAGGGATTTCCATGACGAGCAGGTTTTTTTTCCCCCTTACAATGTATGTATGTAGTGACGGGCAATAGCGTTCATTCCCCGGCCATAATTCGTTGATATACCAGGTGGCTGATTCACGCCGCTCACTTCTGTAGTTATGATGTACCGCATGCACGGTTGCCCAGGGGTGGTAAGTTAAGGTTTTGTTCCTTGTCCGCTTTTTTGTCATTTACTGGCGAATGCAAACACTTAGCAACGTAGAAAAGGTTGGAGCATATGTAAAAAGATGTGAGTGAGTTTAAATCCCATTAGGATATCCTTCGAATTTTTACTTTTTCGCCGACTTTTTCAGCTAGGAACAATACAAAACGTGTTATGTTCTTTTTTTAGTAAATTCATTTGTTCTTTGCGAAAAAAGTCCATGAAGGAGTTAATATTCGAAGAAACTTCTCAAAGGATTTAAACTCGAGCACACCATTTTACACCTCCTCCAAGTGTTCCTAAATTGATTGGTTTTGGCATCTAGGAGTAAATGGCAAAGAACAAAAAGGATCGAAAGTCTTAATTTTCCAGCCCTGCGGTTGCCTACTCGCTCGGCTCGTAAGGCGCCGTGGACAGGGGCGATAGGCAAGCCCGCCCGCACTCGTGCATGCGGTACAGCATAACTACAGAAGTGCGCGGCGTGAATCAGCCACCTGGTAATGGGCTGGCTCGATGAGGAAGTCGGCCAATGAGAAACACAAAGTGCATTTGGACACATTACTAGCAGAAAAAAATGGATCAATGATTTCGTAGCCAGGGGATCATCGACTCAACAACATTACTTTCGGCATATTCCACTTTTCGCTCCCGGTCTACAGCGACTCCACACGCCGACTTATTCTACGAACAGTGCACGCATCATGCGCCCCTCATAAACGCCCCGGCTATGAGAGGCACTGCGCCACCACCGCCTCTCTCTATGCTTATCTACTGCATTCATTAACATAGAGGGCTGTGGGAGGAAAAAACAATTCAAATTGCGTGCATTCTCCGTCGTAGCAAACCCGAAAAGGCGCCAATTAAGGCCAATTAATTCAGCAGACTGGTCAGGAGCCGGGGCTCGCCTCGGCTCGGGGGGCCGCCCCGCGAGGCCCCGCCCCGCCACGCCGCGCCATGACCGCCACCCGGCCGCGCCGCCATTGGCCGCGCGCGGGCTGGCTCCGCCCACGGACTGGCATTCCCCGCCCCGCGCCCCGCGCACACACACACACTCTCACTCCCTCCCTCGCTCTTTTCTCTCACTCTGCCTCTCTGTCTCCCCCCCCCCCATCTCTCCCTCTCTATCTATCACTCACTCACACACACGCGCGCGCGCGGCCCCACCGACCAAGTCCTGCTTCACTGCCCATTATACACCTCATTGTTCTAGCCTAGCAAAGGTTTTCATTTGATGTCGCGCGTGATTCCGGTCGACAATTTACATACTACATTTGGAAATTTTCATAGGTACTCAGCAAACTTTTCGTTCTCCTCGGTTTCCCTCGTCGTTGTTCTTTTAAATCAAAAATATGGTAATCCGAAAATGTGTCAAATTGTCATCTCGACTTTTGACCTCGCGAGAACCAGAACCAGGCCAATGAACCAATGTATTTTTATTCGCCCCCCACGCCCACGGGTAACCCACCTGGACCGTGTATGTGTTATCTTAGCGTTACGTTCTGTCTGAACAGGGTTCGTGTTCGGCCTCGCGGCGAAGGAAGGCGAGGGGGAGGTGAAGGGTGGAGTGCGGCGGGGCCCACCCCGGGCCGAGGAGGGCCGAGGGGTACCAGGCAGGAGGGCCCCCTCCCCGCCACCCCTCCCCGCCCCGCACCCGGCGAGCTCCGCCTGCTGCGCCGAGCTCAGCTTAGCGCGAGCGGGGCTGGCAAGGCTGGCGGGGCCGCGCGGAGCGGGAGCCGTTCGTCCTGCTGGCAGCACTGCTGCCCGTCCAGTCGAGTCCTGTGCGGCGTGCCGAGCGCATCGCACGTCCCGAGTGCCGCCGTGCAGAGTGCTTTGCCGAGCCGAGAGCGAGTGCCGTTCGAGAAGTGACAGTGCAGTGCGTCGTGTGGGCGTGAAATGCGCATCGTGTCTGCCGAGTGCCATCAGCAGCAGTAGGAGCCCTCCGCCCCCAAGGACGTGTCGAACACCATGGTGTCGTACTGCAACTCTCTCGCCATGTACCGGCACCAGCAGCAGCCCCACCCCGCCCCCGGGTGGTACCAGTCGTACCAGCCGCAGGTGCACCCGCAGGTGCCGCAGCAGTACCTGAGCTGCGTGCAGGACGCGCACGCCGCCGCGCACCACCAGCACCAGCAGACCATCCCGTCGTGGCACCACCCGGCGCACCCGCCGCCCCCGCACCACCCCGTGTTCCAGCCCGGGGACTGGTCGCCGTCGAGCACGCCCGACTACATGCACCACCACCACCAGTCCCTGCACGAGCACGCCGACGCCCTGCTGCCGTCGCCGCCCATGACGGTGTCCGGGTCCGACATGTCGTCGCCGTCGGGGGGCACGGGCGGCACCGTCACCCCGCCCCAGTCCAGCGGCCCCGGCCCGGGAACGCCCCTGGGTACGCCCCTGGGCACACCGCGGCCCGTGCCCGCCAGGTCGCCGTTCGAGTGGATGAAGAAGCCCTCCTACACGAGCCAGCCCAACCCCGGTGAGTGACAGAGCCGTGCATGCTGCACCCCACGCCCATCGCAACTGCATGACAATAAAGTCGCGGGCGACAATACTCGGCGACGCGCGAGTCGCGGTCGGTTTGTTTTCAACGGCGCCGCCGGGACAATTATGTGGTGCGATATGTTCATGATTAATGTGAGCCTATCTCGCTCCCCTCCCCCCTCCCCTCCCCTCTCTCCACCCTCCTTTGATTCCCCGCCCGGAGGCCGGAGGGGGTGGCGGGCCGGCGGCTGCCGGATCGGGTGCTAATCGCCGCCCAGGGAGCTGGGCCACTTTGCTCCGCCAGCCCCCCACCCCTGCCGCCCTGGGGACGGGACGTTCCGGCACACAGCAGCATCCCCTCCCCCTCCGACCAGACTCTCTAGGCCCCTCCAACCCTCGGCTGGAGAGAGAAAGAGAAAGTAGTCGCGCCTCCGGCCTCCGGCTCCAGCGGGTCCAGCCCCGGCTCCAGCCTCCAGCTGGCAGGCGCCGATCTGTCAACGATTTGGACCACAGCGGAGTGGTGTTGTAGGGGCCCTGTTGCTCGGCGGAGAAAGAGAGAGAGGGATGGAGGGAGAGGTTCCTCCTCGGCTCAGAGCGGCTACAGCAGGGCTACAGCGGCCACACACTCGGTGGAGGTAAAGGCGCGGCGCGGCGAGGCACCTCCGTGTGCGCTGAGATATCCTTATCGCCAGCAGCCGAGCCGAGAAGATGAGCCGAGAAAGCAGCCGTGTGTGGGAGGGGGCCTAGGGGGGATGGGGGGGAGGAGAGTTTCCTCGCGTAGTCAGGACGAGTCACGCCCGCGAGCTGGCGGGGCACGGCGTACGCGTACAGGGTTTGTCTCAGGGGCCCGGGGAAGCTGGCGCGGGCGCAGCGCGCAGCGGACGTGTCGATTTGGCGGAGCAGCCTCAAGCGTCGAGGTGGAACCACCCCTCGGTGGGACCCCAAACGTGACCCGCCTACGTAGCCGTCGAAAAGGGCGTATCCTCGGCACACCGTAATTCTTGTCTCATGAGTTTGTTCCAAAGGGTTCCAAACGACGACAGCTAGAGTCGTGTATATAAAGCGAGTAAAATCGAAATTCGTCCAATGGCCAGAATGCACGGAGGGGGCCTGCGAGAGTCAGCCAGCCCAACCGCCACTCCACGCCTCGCCACTCCCATCCTGCGCCCATCCGGTGAAGCCTCACGGCTTTCCAATCCCGGCCTGGGCGGGGTGGGGCGACGGCGACGCGCCCGATCTACCTCTCTTTATTGCCCCAACCAGCCTGGGTCCTGGGCGGGTCCTGGGCGGGTCCTGGGCGGGTCCTGGGCGGGTCCTGGGCGGGTCCGGCCCGAGCAGGATGAGAAAGAAACGAGTTCGTTCCAATTGCATGTGTGGGCTGAGCCCAGCCTCCCGCGGCGAGTGGTACTCTGTCGGAAAGGAGGCGGAATTTGGGACTCATGCGGGAAAACACCGCCGAGGCTGCTGCACCGGAAGCGCTCCCCGGGCCGGGCCGCGGCGGCTGTAATCTCAACCAGTGTTTGCCTGCGAGGGATGAGCACTGTTAGAGGTTTTATTAAATTAATTTAAAATGTTTGCAGTGTACTTCAATTAGGGCGCTCAAAGAAATCGTAAACTATTCAATCACCAAACCTCATTTAAAAAAAAAAAAACTTTCTTGGCGAAATTGATAACTTGAATATTTTTGCTTATGCCGCATTACATCTATTTTATTTCCATTTAGAAGTAAACCAACAGCAAAAATAGTTCGAAGGAGAAGTAGCACACGCGAAGATTAGCCTCTCCTGCTCCAAGAAGCAGTGTATCCGAGATAAAGTATGCTGGGGAAGTTCATCAGGAGGAGGAAGGAAATCGGGGCAACTAGTTGCTAAAATACAATGTGCAATGTGTGGATATAAAAATGTAAGCAAAAGTCTCACAACGGCGCCTCTCGCTCTCGTCTTGTATTTCCCCGCGCCGCGCGTCTAGGTCTCTTAGGTGCTGCGGGCACACCGGCTGCCCGGAGGCAACCCTTGCACCCTGGTCTGGGCCGAACCCACGGAACCCACGCCAGGCTACGGGGGCCCCGGCTGTTGTTTGCGCTCGTAGCTTCCGGCCTGCGGTGTGGACCGCTCCGGCGGCGGCCTCTTCCAGACTCCGAGTTTGCTTGTCTACACTGTTTGGGCACGAGGTCATAGTCAGCGCTCAAGGCAGTACATTTAAGAAATCAAGAAAAAAATCGTCAGTATTTTGAAAAAAAATATCATCAGGCAGACCGACAGGTTCAAAACAAACGGGAAAAATAGGAAATTGTTATGTTTTAGTCCGTTACAAAAAATTGTCTCACCACTACCTATCTTCGTAGATCGGTTTCGAGTTTGTTTTAAAAAAAAAAAAAAAATACGCAATAAAGAACCAGGCCAAAAACAAGCTATACTTAATCATCAAGCATTTTATTCAAGTCGAAGGTAAAGCTCTAAAGAAGATTAGGAATGCTGGGAAGAAGAAATAAAAAAAAATTACCGTGTACGGTTTTTTGGGGGTGTTGATGAAAAAGTTAAACTTTAACAAAATACACCAATTTTAAATGGAATCTGAGAGCAGTTGTTTGTGTGTCCCGAAAAGCTATAACCTACTCCGCGCGGGGCCTTATCGCATCGCATTGCCTTCTCTTCCGGGGCCCCCTCCCGCACTCCCCGGAGGTGGAAGTGCATATAAAAACATAAGCCCCTCGAGCTGCTTCCATTTTTTTCTTGTCCGCCGTTCGCTTCAGAGTGTTTCAGCAGACCCGTCGAGGTCGAGACGACGACAGGTCGCTGCCGCTGTCCTGTCCGCGCCGCTGTTTGTTGTGGAACCTCTCCGTCGCCAGTCTTAGTCGGACTCTGGGAACAAGGGTCTACGACCAGGGGGCCGTCGACGTGCTCGGGCGGGGGGAGGAGGAGGGGGAGGGGAGGTATGCACCACCGAGCCTCACCGCGACACACCGGCGCGATAATGTTTTGGTGCCGAGCGAATGACCGCAGGGGACGGGTGTGTAGCGTGGCAATGGTGGTAGGGGATGTTTGTAATTCTACCCTTCACTCGTCCCCTCGACCGCGCCATGGGGGGAGGGGCGCTGATAAGAGGACGCGGGCCGCGGCCCGACCGGGGCCAGGTGCCACCCCATTGGGGGAGAGACTGGCGGGGGTGGCACCCCCAGCGGCGTGGCACGACCCCATGGACTTGGGGGGGG